AGGACAATGGGGGCAGCCGCCCCCTAACCCTTTCAAAATTTTCAAATATGGTAAATTAATTTCAATTAGAAATCAGTCACATGTTATTTATTAAATTTGCCATGAATTAATCACGAGCAAACTGCAAATTAATTCATCCGCCAATTACCAGATTTACATCAATGTGTATCTTTAGGCAATTGCCCACAAGGCACAAGAAAGGTAACGGTGTCCGTAATCATGTTCTATTCTTCCTTGTAAAGATCCTGCGTTTGTGTTCAATGAAATGTTTTACATGGACATAAACCCTTTTAGTTTATGATATAAAACTTTTCTAAATTAACTTTCGTAATTTTGTAAATGTTATATGCACTATACTTACTAATAATTATCCTACTTTTAAAAAAATTATCAAACATATACATGCGAATCCGAAATTTTTCCACCACATTTAATTGTCGTCTTCGTTTTTTCATGCAATTTTCTACATAAAAATGATCTATTTCCTAATGAAAAATTGTGCAATGGAAGGATAACTTTGGGTTTAAAAATTCAGTTTAAGTGCCACGCCCCAAAACCCAAATTCGAAGCGCGACAGACGCCGTGCACTCGTGAGACGGGTCCCACAAGTGCACAAGGCTCGGAACTTATTCAATTCACAATCTGATACCACAAAATTTGAAGATCAAATCTCTTGTAACTAACAATCCATTCAATGAATTTATAAAATCTCCAATTAAAATCCAATTTACAAGATCATGATTTATTTTCTAAAATCTATAACAAATCTCGAAATGGCTAGCCTTCTAACTCGTCACTTCCCGTGGTTTCCCCGTCCTCGGTTTCACTTCCTAAAATGGTGGACAAGGAAAACTATGAGATAAACTCAGTAAGTAAAATATGGAGTGCCCCTTATTAAACTTTTAGCATGCCAACATGTGCAATCACGCAAAACGGATACAGTACGAGAATGAAATAGACGTCTCCTCTATAGGTCACGGTCAGTGTTATAAACCTCCCACTGACACAACAGAAATTACTAGTGTTTAACCCCCACTAGCAGGGTTACAGAAATGAACCGGTTCTATCAGTAACATGTCGACATGTGCTAGCGTTTAACCCCCACTAGCAGGATTACAGAAATAACATGACCATATCGGAGACAAAACAGGCAGAAGTTAGTAGAAAATCATAATTCACAATCACTTTCAAATCATCAGGACAGTCAAATAAACTTCAAGCAGGCATGCTCAATCAATAAAAAGAATAATAATCTTATTTCAAATCAATTATGCTTATTTTGTATAAAACGGGTTTAATCCCGCCATCACTTCAAAAACAAATCAAAACATGCTTTTAAAACCTGTACGGGCATTACCATTTTTACTTACCTCACTCCGTGTCACGCCCCAAAACCCGAATTCGAGGCGCGACAGACGCCGTGCACTCGTGAGTGGGTTCCACAAATGCACAAGGCTCGGAACTTATCCAATTCACATCTAATACCACCAAAAATCTGAAGATCAAAATTTGAAACTTCTCTGATACCATAAAATCTCCAATCACAATCTAGCTTACAATATCATCAGTTATACCTAAGATCCATATTCAAATTACAAGTGGCTAGCCTTCTAACTCGTCACTCCCCTTGGTTTCCCCGTCCTCGGTTTCACTTCCTGAAATGGTGGAAAAGGAAAACTATGAGATAACTCAGTAAGTAAATATGGATAGCCCTTGGGTAAAACTTTTAAACATGCCAGATAAACCACATAAACATAACAGAACTTTCAATGATAAACCGTTAATGCGGAAATCAAATTCAGTTTAATAGCAAAACACTCAAAGACAAAACCGTACAGAATAAAACTCCTCAGTAGTCTCATCTATAAGTCATGGCCAGTGTTTAACAAACTCCCACTGGCAGGCGTCAGTAATGGTACCAGTGTTTAACACACTCCCACTAGCAAGCGTCAGTAATGGTACCAGTGTTTAACACACTCCCACTGGCAGGCGTCAGTAATAGTACCAGTGTTTAACCCCATTGGCAGGGTTACAGAAGTACCAGTGTTTAACCCCATTGGCAGGGTTACAGAAGTACCAGTGTTTAACAAACTCCCACTGGCAGGCGTCAGTAATCATGACTATATCCGAGACAAAACCATGCAGGATTTTCAGAAAAATTCATAATTCACAATCAATCTCAAATCTCAGAAATAAATCGAAAAATTTCCATGTGACAATGGATTTAATAGAAAACTCAGAATTTGCAAACTCTCAGTTCATCAAAACAGTTCAGTCAATTTCCAAATAGGCATGCTCAACTCCCGAAAAACAATGAAACTCTCATTTTCATTTCAATCATGCTCAATTCCAGAAAATCAATAAAATCCTCATTTTCATTCCAATTATGCTCAATTTCAGAAAAACAATGAATTTCCCATAAAACCCATCACAATTTGCATTCCAATTTAATCACACTCAAATGCCGATAAAATCAATTTAAAGCTTGCCACCATCTCAAAAACAATTGAAAACATGCTTTAAAATCGAAGGGCTTTACCATAATTTACTTACCTCACTCGCATAGAACAGAAGGCTAACCCAAGTGCTATGGTGACAGAACGATCAAAACCTAATCACAATATTCCACAATTAATAACCATACCACCACAATTTCAAAGTAAAATCATCGTGAGCACTACCCCTGATCCCATGCTATTTCTATCAATTTCCACATAACCGAACATCTCCAAATTCATTCTTATATCACAAACTAAACCTTTAAATCCCCGTTAATCGTTGACCCTCGGTGTGTGAACAGTGCCTACGAACAGTACCCGTGAACAGTACCTACGACGTGAACAGTAACTCCAACTTCCAAAAATTGGCCAAAACACTAGCTAATCCACGGGATTTCACTCCAAAATCACGACAACCCAATTCAAGCTAATTTCCTACTTAAACCACACTTAAAAACATAGCTTAAAGCTACCAAAATTCATTCCAATTTCCCAGCAGATTCGGACAACACAGAGCATCAACTAATGGACAAAACCCAGCA